TCTTAATCAATTCTTGGATACTACTTCAAAATATGCTCAAACTTTCTGATGGCGATTCAAATTCTTTACATTTATGTAAAATTTATAATAAAAAAATGTATTAATCTCAACATTAAAATTTCAATCGAACTTGTCTCTTCTCTTGAACTTTAATGTTCCATCTATATTGCGAGACACATTAAACAAATAATATCAACTCATCTTATTATAATCTCAAGGATGTTCAAAAATAGTACCGTTGTTTAAGTTTAAAGAATTTTGAAAAGTTTGTTTTTTAAATATCGATTTGTAAATAATAGTAAAGTTATATTTTATTTACTTTTACTAAGTAAGCGTATTTTAATTAAGAAAGTATTATATGTACGCAAATTTAAAAGAATAGCAAAAACTTCTCTTCTGGAAAAAAAAGGAAGAAGTTTGGGAATACCTAAAATTCTATACTGACAAAGCCACAAATCAGCAGTGAAATAAATTGCGTCAATATCAGTAAACTTACAAGTAATCTAAGAGTTCACATATCACAAATTAATTTCACGCTGTAGGTAACGTTTAGTTTTTCCAACAAATCTGCACATATCATCTCACATATCATTACGTAACATTCAGCCATTCTAACAAAATACACATCCACCCTGTTTTATATTTATTTCGTAATCACCATTTTGTCTGTCAGTTTCGACAAAGTTTCTTCTTTTTTCTTGAAGATATTAGAATATCTCCTTAAATCAAACAACATTTGGCAACTTCGTAGTTTGTCTTCTTCAGTCAATAGCTTACTCATCCATCCATACAAAAACCTTTTTGGATAAAGGTTCCTTCCGATTTCACTTACATTCTACTGTCTACTTTGGTTCGCTAACCAAATAGCTCTCGTCAACTGACGTTTGTTTTCGCAAATCTTCAGAATTTCTGCTTCACGTTGATTCCAGCACACCGCCGGCGAGTTTTGTCGCGTACAAGTTTAGTGCCTTTAAAAAAGAAAAATCTATTTATAGACTATCCGTATCAGGTTATGATAACATCGCATTATTAAATCTGATCATACATAAAATAATCCATCTTCTGATATAATTTTAAAAATTTAATTTCAGACAAACCGTACAGTTATAACTTGGATTTATAAATTTGTAACTGATATAATTTTTGCGCTTTTATAAACTCTTAGCATATCAGTTATATAAATTTACAATAGTATATAAACCAAACAGCAAACATTTTCCTATTTCTTTATACAATTATATTTTTCTTAGTTTCATTTGTAACTGAAACGATTATATCTAACTTTTATATAAAAACTCTAATTTTATTTATTCTTTTGTAAATGTCATATTTTATACTTTTAACGTAAAATAAGTTATCAAATAAACTATTAATTCATGTAGTTAAATTAGTTTAAAGGAAGATAAGCATTCTGTTTTGACGTTCTCGTGTAGCGATTGATAAAATCGATTATCACCTTGTATATAAAAGCATATTGCTCCTTGGTCTGAACTGCGCCAGCCCGATCTCTCCTGATAGTGTAAACGACCCTCGGCACATCCACAGTCCTCGTAATTTCATATTGTCTAATTCCTAGGTCAAGGGCTATTAGCGTGCCAGTGCGTCCTGTGCCAGGACTACAATGAACCACGATGGGCCCGGGACCACCTCTCTGGAGTGCTCTCGCCTCGAGGAGCACCGCTATTAGGCCTGTACCGTCTGATTGGACGCCACTCACTGGCCATAGGTACCAGATGTGGAATACTTCTCGAAACGTATTGTTCTCCAGGTTCTGCAAAAAAAAAAAATAATTAATTGCTTGCGCTTGATAAAAGGTCGCCACGAAACTATTGAATGTTTTAATAACTGCTATAATTATTGCTACATTTGTTAAAGCTATATTTGAATGCTATTTCTACAGAGATTTCTCGCAATATATTATACTTTGACTTTCACAAAGAATGTTATTTTGTAGCCAATATTTAATTAATTAGTCTGAAGCAAATCAATCATAAAATAACTGAGAAAATGTTACTAATTTTACTAAATTATACGCGTTAGTATAATTAGCACTCTTACAAAGAGTGCTCGAGAAGCTACTAAAGTGTACTAAAAGAATATCTTATTTTGAAATAAGAAATAAAATTTTATTCAGAAAGACAGAGAGAGAGAGAGAGAGAGAGAGAGAGAGAGAGCTCTTTTATTTTAAAAATTAAGCTACAAATACTTTTATTATGTACGCTTAGGAATA